TATTGGAAGTTCTAGCAGGATTGTTCTGTATAACATTATTGAAGCTTATTGTCAATGTTGGTCTAATAGAAATGCATATAGTAATCTAGTGCACGCATAGTGCACGTGTAGGGTGTAGAGTGCATCTACATGATGTAGAGTGCATCTACATGCTGTAGAGTGCATCTACATGGTGTAGAGTGCACCTACATGCTGTAGAGTGCATCTACATGGTGTAGAGTGCACCTACATGTTGTAGAGTGCACCTACATGGTGTAGAGTGCACCTACATGATGTAGAGTGCATCTACATGATGTAGAGTGCATCTACATGATGTAGAGTGCACCTACATGATGTAGAGTGCACCTACATGATGTAGAGTGCACCTACATGATGTAGAGTGCACCTACATGATGTAGAGTGCACCTACATGATGTAGAGTGCACCTACATGATGTAGAGTGCACCTACATGGTATAGAGTGCACCTACATGATGTAGAGTGCACCTAAATGATGTAGAGTGCACCAACATGATGTAGAGTGCACCTACGTGATGTAGAGTGCACCTACATGGTGTAGAGTGCACCTACATGATGTTAAGTACACCTACATGATGTAGAGTGCCCCCAACAAAGATGTAGAGTGCACCTACATGATGTAAGTTTCACCTAAATGACGTAGAGTTCACCTACATGATGTAGAGGGGCCCCCTACATGAAGTAGAGTGCCCCTACATGGTGTAGAGTGCACCTACATGATGAAGAGTGCACCTACATGATGTAGAGTGCACATACATGATGTAGATTGCACCTACATGATGTAGAGTGCACCTACATGATGTAGAGTGCACCCACATGATGTAGAGTGCACCTACATGATGTAGAGTGCAACCAACATGATGTAAGTGCACCTACAGAGTTAGTGCACCTACATGATGTAGAGTGCACCTACATGATGTAGAATGCACCTACATGATGTAGAGTGCACCTACATGATGTAGAGTGCACCTACATGATGTAGAGTGCACCTACATGATGTAGAGTGCACCTACATGATGTAGAGTGCACCAACATGATGTATAGTGCACCTACATGGTGTAGAGCGCACCTACATGATGTTGAGTGCACCTACATGATGTAGAGTGCACCTACATGATGTAGAGTGCACCTACATGATGTAGAGTGCACCTACATGATGTAGAGTGCACCAACATGATGTATAGTGCACCTACATGGTGTAGAGCGCACCTACATGATGAAGAGTGCACCTACATGTTGTAGAGTGCACCTACATGATGTAGAGTGCACCTACATGATGTTGAGTACACCTACATGATGAAGAGTGCACCTACATGATGTAGAGTGCACCTACATGATGTAGAGTGCACCTACATGATATTGAGTACACCTACATGATGAAGAGTGCACCTACATGATGTAGAGTGCACCTACATGATGTAGAGTGCACCTACATGATGTAGAATGCACCTACATGATGTAGAGTGCACCTACATGATGACTGCACCAACATGATGTTGAGTGCACCTACATGATGTAGAGTGCACCTACTTGATGACTGCACCAACATGATGTAGAGTGCACCTACATGATGTAGAGTGCACCTACATGATGTAGAGTGCACCTACATGATGTAGAGTGCACCTACATGATGACTGAACCAACATGATGTAGAGTGCACCTACAAGATGTAGAGTGCACCTACTTGATGACTGCACCAACATGATGTTGAGTGCACCTACATGATGTAGAGTGCACCTACATGATGACTGCACCAACATGATGCAGAGTGCACCTACATGATGACTGCACCAACATGATGTTGAGTGCACCTACATGATGTAGAGTGCACCTACTTGATGACTGCACCAACATGATGTTGAGTGCACCTACATGATGTAGAATGCACCTACATGATGTAGAGTGCACCAACATGATGTAGAGTGCACCTACATGATGTAGAATGCACCAACATGATGTTGAGTGCACCTACATGATGTAGAATGCACCAACATGATGTAGAGTGCACCTACATGATGTAGAGTGCACCAACATGGTGTTGAGTGCACCTACATGATGAAGAGTGCACCTACATGATGTAGAGTGCACCTACATGATGTAGAGTGCACCTACATGATGTAGAGTGCACCAACATGGTGTTGAGTGCACCTACATGATGTAGAGTGCACCTACATGATATTGAGTACACCTACATGATGAAGAGTGCACCTACATGATGTAGAATGCACCTACATGATGTAGAGTGCACCTACATGATGTAGAGTGCACCTACATGATGTAGAGTGCACCAACATGGTGTTGAGTGCACCTACATGATGTTGAGTGCACCTACATGATGTAGAGTGCACCTACATGATGAAGAGTGCACCAACATGATGTAGAGTGCACCTACATGATGACTGCACCAACATGATGCAGAGTGCACCTACTTGATGTTGAGTGCACCTACATGATGTTGAGTGCACCTACATGATGTAGAGTGCACCTACATGATGAAGAGTGCACCAACATGATGTAGAGTGCACCTACATGATGTAGAGTGCACCAACATGATGTAGTGTGCTCCAGCTTGATGTAGAGTGCACCTACATGATGAATAGTGCATCAACATGATGTAGAATGCACCTACATGATGTAGAGTGCACCTACATGATGAAGAGTGCACCAACATGATGTAGAGTGCTCCAACTTGATGTAGAGTGCACCTACACGATGAAGAGTGCACCAACATGATGTAGAGTGCACCTACATGATGTAGAGTGCTCCAACTTGATGTAGAGTGCACCTACATGATGTAGAGTGCTCCAACTTGATGTAGAGTGCGCCTGCACGATGTAGTGCACCTACAAAGTGTTATGAGCATAGGTGTGGAGTGCACATTAATGCATGGTGTATAGTGCAGGTGTAGGGGGTAGAGTGCACCTACACGAGACAAAGTGCAGCTACACGAGACAGAGTGCACCTGCACGAGGCAGAGTGCACCTACGCAAGCCAGAGTGCACCTACACGAGGCAGAGTGCACCTCCACAAGACAGAGTGCACCTACACAAGGCAGAGTGCACCTACACAAGACAGTGCACCTACACAAGGCAGAGTGCACCTACACAAGGCAGAGTGCACCTACACAAGACAGAGTGCACCTACACGAGGCAGAGTGCACCTCCACAAGACAGAGTGCACCTACACAAGGCGGAGTGCACCTACACAAGACAGAGTGCACCTACACAAGGCAGAGTGCACCTACACAAGGCAGAGTGCACCTACAAAAAGGCAGAGTGCCCCCACACGAGGCAGAGTGCACCTACACGAGGCAGAGTGCACCTACACGAGGCAGAGTGCACCTACACGAGGCAGAGTGCACCTACACAAGGCAGAGTGCACCTACACGAGGCAGAGTGCACCCCACACGAGGGAGAGTGCACCTACACGAGGCAGAGTGCACCTACACAAGGGAGAGTGCACCTACACAAGGCAGAGTGCCCTACACGAGGCAGAAGTGCACCTACACGAGGCAGAGTGCACCTACACAAGGCACAGTGCCCCCTACACAAGGGAAGTGCACCTACACGAGCAAAGTGCACCTACACAAGGCAGAGTGCACCTACACGAGGCAGAGTGCACCTACACGAGGCAGAGTGCACCTACACGAGGCGAGTTTCACCTACAAAAAGGCAGAGTGCACCTACACAAGGCAGAGGCACCTACACGAGGCAGAGTGCACCTACACGAGGCAGAGTGCACCTACACAAGGCACAGTGCACCTACAACAAGGCAGAGTTTCACCTACACGAGGCAGAGTGCACCTACACAAGGCAGAGTGCACCTACACGAGGCAGAGTGCACCTACACAAGGCAGAGTGCACCTACACGAGGCAGAGTGCACCTACACAAGGCACAGTGCACCTACACAAGGCAGAGTGCACCTACACAAGGCAGAGTGCACCTACACGAGGCAGAGTGCACCTACACAAGGCAGAGTGCACCTACACAAGGCAGAGTGCACCTACACAAGGCAGAGTGCACCTACACGAGGCAGAGTGCACCTACACAAGGCAGAGTGCACCTACACGAGGCAGAGTGCACCTACACAAGGCAGAGTGCACCTACACGAGGCAGAGTGCACCTACACAAGGCAGAGTGCATGATGTAGAGTGCATCTACAAGGTGTTGTGAACATAGATGCTGGGTTAAAATTAATGGTATAACGTTCACATGCACGATGTTGCATGATGATGCATCAGGCAGTGCACATGTATGGTGTTTGTTTCTTTGTTTTTATTAGGCCTCATATATCACTTTAGACTTTTACAATATTTTTGTAGTAAATTATGTAGAAGTTAACCCAGACTAACCCAGTAAATAAGCGCAGATATATGGTGCACGCTGCCCATAGACGGCACACAGTGCACGTAGATGACAAACAGTAAATACAGATGTCATAGTGCACATAGATGGTGCACAGTGCACGTAGATGGCACACAGTGCACATAGATGGTGCATACTGCCCATAGATGACACAGTGCACGTAGATGATACACAGTAAATACAGATGTCATAGTGCACATAGATAGTGCAGTGCACATAGATGGTACACATAGTTCACAAAGATGGTGCACAGTGCACATAGATGGTGCAGTGCACACTGATGATGCACAGTGCACATAGATGTGCATAGTGCACATAGATGGTGCACAGTGCACACAGCCTTGAGTGCAGAGATCACATTTCATAACATTGTTGCCACTTCTCCGGCCTCGTGCACGTTTGACAAGACTTGGCACCGCTTTCTAAATCAGCCTACGAAAAACTATACTACACCTCGTGCACCGCGCCGCGGTAAAATCCCCAGCTGAACTGCTGCCCACCGTCGTGTATAGCTGAAAATAAAATTTAAGTCCTTTTAGGGGGCAAATCCCGGAGAAAATAAGGAAGGCGAGGGAGGATGAGAGTCCGTGACAATAGTGGCGCGTGCGCCCCCCTGGCTCAGTTAGTGTTGGGACTTGTCTAGTGTACGACCATCACCGTGTCGTCGCGAACTCTCCTAAAAACCGATTGATTTATGTCGTGTTTAATGCCTAGGTTCGGCGAACACAGTGGGCAGAGGTGTAGCGAGGTTCCTTGCTCGCGTGGAGCACTAACCTCAGGCGGATGGATCCCAGTATAGGCTGGTACCAGCCAGAACAACAAGGCCCCGCCAGAGACCTCTGGGCCAGAATTTGGCTCACTCAACAAGGTCTGGACAACATGAATCTCAACGACACCAATATGAACCACGAGTACATTCCCATTTGTGCCGACGATGCCACCACTAGGACTAACAAAAACGCCAGTGTGAACGCGAATAATAGTTATTACAACCGAACCAAAAGGAAAAGAGAGAACCGAGCCAGCACGTACGGTCTCAACCACAACCATAAGAACCTCATAGGACAGTTTGGTGGCTGTCCTTGGCGCCGCCAACCTGATAACTACGACCTGGGGGTAGTTGGGTGAGTCACCTGACCTGGGTGGTAAGCTGGGACCTGTGGTAGTGACGGGACCTGTGCTCATCACCTGAGATTTGTTGTGTTGATATAGGATCTGTAGTGATGACCTGAAACTGGTGTTGATATAGGATCTGTAGTGATGACCTGAGACATGTGGTGTTGATATAGGATCTGTAGTGATGACCTGAGACATGTGGTGTTGATATAGGATCTGTAGTGATGACCTGAAACTTGTGGTGTTGATATAGGATCTGTAGTGATGACCTGAAACTGGTGTTGATATAGGATCTGTAGTGATGACCTGAGACATGTGGTGTTGATATAGGATCTGTAGTGATGACCTGAGACATGTGGTGTTGATATAGGATCTGTAGTGATGACCTGAAACTTGTGGTGTTGATATAGGATCTGTAGTGATGACCTGAAACTGGTGGTGTTGATATAGGATCTGTAGTGATGACCTGAAACTTGTGGTGTTGATATAGGATCTGTAGTGATGACCTGAGACTTGTGGTGTTGATATAGGATCTGTAGTGATGACCTGAAACTGGTGGTGTTGATATAGGATCTGTAGTGATGACCTGAAACTGGTGGTGTTGATATAGGATCTGTAGTGATGACCTGAAACTTGTGGTGTTGATATAGGATCTGTAGTGATGACCTGAGACTTGTGGTGTTGATAGGATCTGTAGTGATGACCTGAGACTTGTGGTGTTGATATAGGATCTGTAGTGATGACCTGAGACTTGTGGTGTTGATAGGATCTGTAGTGATGACCTGAAACTGGTGGTGTTGATATAGGATCTGTAGTGATGACCTGAGACTTGTGGTGTTGATAGGATCTGTAGTGATGACCTGAGACTTGTGGTGTTGATATAGGATCTGTAGTGATGACCTGAAACTGGTGGTGTTGATATAAGAACATAAGAACATAAGAACGAAGGAACACTGCAGAAGGCCTACTGGCCCATGCGAGGCAGGTCCAAGTCTCCTACCGGCTTAAGCCAATGCACCCAACCTAGTCAGGTCAGGTCACATTGACTTAAGGGAGGAACACGGCAACCGACCTGTTAGCACAAGCTATCAGGTCTAACTCACACCCACCCACATCTACTCATGTATTTATCCAACCTATTTTTAAAGCTACACAACGTTCTGGCCTCTATAACGGTACTTGGGAGTTTGTTCCACTCATCCACAACTCTATTACCAAACCAGTACTTTCCTATATCCTTCCTGACATGTGGTGTTGATATAGGATCTGTAGTGATGACCTGAGATTTGTGGTGTTGATATAGGATCTGTAGTGATGACCTGAGACTTGTGGTGTTGATATAGGATCTGTAGTGATGACCTGAGACTTGTGGTGTTGATATAGGATCTGTAGTGATGACCTGAGACTTGTGGTGTTGATATAGGATCTGTAGTGATGACCTGAAACTGGTGGTGTTGATATAGGATCTGTAGTGATGACCTGAGACTTGTGTTGATATAGGATCTGTAGTGATGACCTGAAACTGGTGGTGTTGATATAGGATCTGTAGTGATGACCTGAGACATGTGGTGTTGATATAGGATCTGTAGTGATGACCTGAGACTTGTGGTGTTGATATAGGATCTGTAGTGATGACCTGAGACTGGTGGTGTTGATATAGGAACTGTAGTGATGACCTGAGACTTGTGGTGTTGATATAGGATCTGTAGTGATGACCTGAGACTTGTGGTGTTGATATAGGATCTGTAGTGATGACCTGAGACTTGTGGTGTTGATATAGGATCTGTAGTGATGACCTGAGACTTGTGGTGTTGATGTAGGATCTGTAGTGATGACCTGAGACTGGTGGTGTTGACAGGACTTGTAGTGATGACCTGAGACTTGTAGTGATGACCTGAGACTTGTAGTGTTGAAAAAGGACCTGTAGTGATGACCTGAGCCATATGTTGTTGACATAGGATCTGTAGTGTTGACCTGGGACTTGTGCTAACCTGGGACTTGTGCTGACCTGGGAACTGGTAGTGACCTAACACCTGTGGTGATGACCTGAGACTTGTATTAACATGGGACCTGTAGTGATGACCTGAGATCTGTCATGTTGAACAGGGACTAATGGTGATTTGAGGGCTGTGGTGTTGACCTGAGGTTTGTAGTGGTGACTTGAGATCGGTACTGTTGACCTGGGGTCTGTGGTAGGAACCTTGGACCAGTAGTGGTTATGTGAGACCTGTGGTAGTGACATAGGACCTGGGGTGATGACCTGAGATCAGCAGTGGTGACCTTGGATCTGTAGTGGTGACTTGAAACCTGTGGCAGTGATCTGTAGTAGTGACCTTGGACCTATATTTGTGACTTTAAGACCTGTGGTAGTAATCCGAGGCCTGTATTATTAGTCTTGCATAAGAATATAAGAACAGTGGACCATCACAGTAGGTCCAAAAGCCCATGCTAGGCAGGTTCAATTAACATCCAACCACACCCACTCATGTGCCTGTTCATCCTGTATATTTAAAGCTGCTCAAAGTTCTTGATTCATTGACACTTGTAAGTTGCTGTATGACCCTCGTAGGTTTAGTGCTTCTTTTTTATTATAATAATAATTACTTGTAAGTTGCTCATAATAAATCTCTTGTCAGACTAATACACCTCTGTCCCTCAAGGAAGTCTCTTTGATGCTGTTGAGAGGCTTTATCTAACGATTGGACCTAATTTCCCTTTTCTTGAATTGAACTTGAATGCTTTCCACTCCCCTATGGGTTTATGCTCCCCCATGAATGTAATAATAATAATAATATAATAATAATAGTACTTCATATCAGTTTGACTTGTCAATGGTTGGACCAAACCGTCATAAGTTTTCCTTTCCATATAAGTGCAGGTTATTTGTGTATTGTTCCAGCCCCGGTGTGACTTTTTTTTCTTCTTCAGTGCTCATTATCCTTTTTGAATAAATTTTGTACCTGCATTAGTGGCCCAAGACCTATAATAATGACCAAAGACCAGTATTAGTAACCTGCAATCTGTATGGGTGGCCTGTAACCTATATTAGTGTCCTGGGACCTGTGTGATGACTTATCTGTTGCAAGGATATGGGGTATGTAATAATGACCTGAGATGTAGTTATGGATGTCGAACGAAGTCATAATTCTTAAATTACTAGCATTAGTGAGTTGTCCATTCTGCAGGTTTGGTGATTTGTTAAAATATAATCACAAATTATCCAACAGTAATTTAATATTGCAGGCATGAGCAATAATTTAAGTTAGATTATTTATTTGGGAAATCTTTGCTTGTAGGAAACTTGCAGACCTTTTAACTACAACATCAGGCCCTTAAGCAAACACTATGATGACCTCCTGGCACTCCTTGAATCACTAAAGACACCCTTCTCCTGCATTATTCTTACTGAGACCTGGCTTAAGCAGGACACAATAGATATCTACCCTCTACCAGGATACACAGCAATTCACAACTGCAGACCAAACCAAGTTGGGGGTGGTATTGCAATCTATTACTCTAACCAATTATCTTGTATTAGCACCACTTGCTTTAGTGATGAATATGGGGAATACATTTTTGCTAATTTTACTGTAAAAAACCTTAAGACACCTATAACAATCGGTGCCATTTACCGGATACCTCACACAAACATCCCAAATTTCAGTGAGAAATTAAAGTCACTAATAACAAACAGACAAATGAATAAGCACCACCTTCTCTTAGCTGGAGACTTCAACATCAACCTTGGCTACTAGATGATCAGCCTGTAACTGATTTCATCAACAATATGAACAACACACTTCTCATACCAACAATAACTAAACCAACCAGGCTCACTGAGACAAGTGCAACCATAATAGACCACATATGGACCAATATACTAGCCCCCCTTAAATCAGGGATAATCACAGATAGCACTACAGACCACTACCCTACCTTCCTCCTGACAAACATTAATAAACCACCACTTGAATACAACAAAGTCTCATTTAGACTCCATGATGAGGCCTCAATAAGGAAGTTCACAACTGACATAGAGATTGTTGACTGGCCTACAGAATTCTCCAAGGCCAATGGTATTGATGACTGGACATACATTTTTCTTAACAAATTACTTAGACTATACAACAAACATTGTCCTATAAAAACGAAACAGATCACAAACAAACGGCTTGGTTGCCCATGGCTAACCAGCACCATTCTGAAATCCATTGACAAGAAACACCAATATGAAAAGCAATATAGACAGGGCTTAATACACAAAGATATTCTTAAACACTATTCATCAGTTCTCACCAAAGTAATAAAGAAAGCCAAACAACTATACTACTCCAGTAGATTCACAGACACTAGAGGAAATATAAAAAAGACCTGGAAAACACTCTCTCAGATTCTAGGGGCCCACAAACTGAAAAAAAACAAGAATATTGTCCTAACTTAACCTAATGAAACACCACTACATCCCACTGACACAGCTAACAAGATAAATGACTTCTTCTCAACCATAGGATCTAATCTCGCCAATAAAATCCCACATACTAATGCCCATGCCGGGGACTACCTAGATGGGAATTTCCCAAATTCCTTCTATCTTGCACCAACTGAGCCCTTGGAAGTCACCAGAGATTATAAAGTCACTTAAAAACAACTCAGGGAATCTGTGTAATGTCCCACCATTACTGTACAAGCGAGCGGCCCATATCCTTTCGCATGCTATTTCATTACTTTTTAATGAGTCACTAGAAACTAGCACCTTCCCGAAACTACTCAAGATGGCAAGGGTTACACCAATACATAAAGGTGGTGACCCTACAGACTTAAACAACTATAGGCCAATATCAAACTTACCATTGCTATCCAAAATCTTTGAGAAACTCGTGCACAGGAGACTATATTCATTTATAACAGCACAAAACATATCAACCCTGCCAATTTGGATTTAGGAAAAATAAAAGCACTAATGATGGAATCATAAAAATGCTAGATCTGCTTTACACAGCATTGGAAA